TGTGAGAATATATACTGAATTAATGCTGATGAGTTTACATGCTATCTGTGAAACTAAAGAACATTATGTGCCTCGTAAGCATAATTAGATATTTCTATATGCTTAGCTGCGAAATAGAATATCATGAATTTGTGAAGTTGGCTAAATAGGATATCACAACTCACTTCCCTTGAGCTGGTATTTCGGGCGGTCGTGTGCAAAGCCCGAAGGGTGAGTTAGTTTGAGCGCCACTAGCTTTCGCAGCAAAGCTAGAACACTCAGCTATGGAATGCTGCCGAAATACCTACTCAATTATTTTACCGGGATAGTACATAAGCTGACTTGAATGATGATATAAAAAAAGGAAAAATGGTGAGCTTAATAAAGAACAAGAAAACGTGGTTTGACGACCACAAACTACCGTCTGATACCGAAGTAATTCACGCGTTCCGAATGCGTTTCTGATGCGAAATTGAGATTAAGATCTTTTTGCACATAAGAAACGAATCACAGAACGCGCCTCACAGTTAGCGGGCTCAACGATTTTCGCGGCCATTGTTCTTTGCACTCACCGACAACACTACGACTTCAGAATCAAAACAAATGCCGCTGTAGTTTCGCAACGAGTCAGTAAATGGCTCTGCAGTAGTAAAACTGTGCTCCGAAGCGCCAGTATTTAAATATAAGCAAACGGCCCTTACTTGATGAACGTGCCTCGTAGATAACATTGCCAAAATCATGTACCATGATACATGGTGCGCACGAACTCTCCTACAGTATAAAGGGTACGAAGAAAACATTGTACATTTTTTTCCCAAAATTTCTAAATTATGTTAACAGTTGAAGATCGAATTTAACATTTGTTATTAAGTATTGTTGTGGATATAATTGGAATACCTAACCTTTCAAAATAAAAAAAAAGATATTTGTTGCAAATTACGAAAATTTGTTGTATTCAAAAAGAACTCTTCCACGATTTTTTAATGAAAACTCAAAACGGCAATGATGTTTTTTCTCATTATTTTAGTTATCCTTTGCCTATAATAACAAGCTGTTGTCAAACTTTAACTTACTTTGAAGCTTTCACAAAATCTACCCTAACACGAATTTGCAAATATGCGATTAGTTACTGGGAAAAGAGACAGAAACATAGAAGGAATTGTAAGAACGCTAGAGACATTGAACGATTAGCTGTAGCAATTGACGCAGATAGTGGACGATCTTGAGATTATTGGATTACAGACCTAGGGGAACAGGCGTTGGAGATAATTGCAGCCGACTTTTCCAGGACGTGCAGCCTTGCTCAACAACTGACACTTTTCCATTATCGGATAATTGTCCCCCGAAGAAGAGCAACATTCCTACCATGTATGTAATATACACAGGCCACTAGATCACATTAAATCTCTGATCTCCTGAACACCGGTACAAATTGAGCGGGAGTTAATTAACCGAATACGAAAACCCGCTCAAAATGTGAGCATAGACTACTGCCAAGAGTGCAAGATAAAGTGATTCGGACTCAAAAACACTTGGAGTGAAACGGGCACAACTTCGAAAACCTCTTGTTATTTAACAACTTAATTGTTTTTTATTTGATCAATATTGATCATTTTATATCACCCTGTTTAGTGAATTACTCAGCGGTCATTGCGCATGACCACAAAAAATTTAGGGTAGCTTCAGAGAAATGATTATGCTGTCAGCAATTTTAAGATATCTTTCATGTCTTTATAAAGGAAGGTAAATAGGGAACTAGCACTAATTTTAATTTTAGGAGATTTACTGGAGAATTACTGCTGGGACGACGATTTAATGAACGCAAGCAGAATATTATTCAGCATTCAAATTCTGTTAACTTATCCTATAGAATGTTTCGTCACAAGAGGAGTTATTGAAAATTCGATTATTAGCAAGGATCCTAACGTACCGATGTCAGAAAGAACTCATTACGCCATCACTTTGTCCATAGTTTTTACGACCTATTTCATTTCAATGGCGACGGATTGCCTGGGAGTTGTTCTCGAACTGAATGTAAGTTTGCATTATTATATGTTAAGATATTATTAAGAGTTCTTTAAAGAAGGTGCTTTTCCAACATAGAAATGAGAACTTACCTTTTAATTGTTTGTACTGGATTGACGAGTATTTACTAGACTCAAGACAAAGACAGATGAATCAGAAAATTACGTCGGCAATAATGCGCACATACAGATATTTGTTCTCCAAACTCCAATCTCAAATATGTTGTCTACGTTCGATGTGGCCGTTCAAAACTTAAACGCTATAGCGTTTAATTAAGTATATTGTTATAACAATATCGGTCCTAACAAAAAGTCGTAATTTTCTCGAAAACTGTTTATATTCGCACGTGTTCGCAAGTTTATCAAAATCAAAGGCATTTTACCACAAAGAATCGGGTCGCCAGCTTCTTGAGACGCCCCGAGTATAAGGAGGTGGTGAAGTTCCTATACAGATAAATTAATGATGAAATAATAAAAACTGTGAAGGCTTTCACGGCCGGTCAAATCACATTTAGAAATGTTTTTCGGGCTTTTAAACCGTGGTCCATGGGAATTTATTCTTGATGTTTCGTCCACAACTGCGGTGGACATTATCAAAGGGGATGAGGCAGTGGGCGAAGTGATATCCCGTGCTTTCCGACTAAGACTGGTTCAACTACTAAATGTGAACAACATTTATTTTCAACTAAGGATTACATTCCTTCTTATTGCTACTTATCTACGGCTCCTAAATGCTAACACCATTTGTACTTAATATAACATCATATAGCTTATTCTACCTTAGCTTAATCTAAACCTAGCTTAACCTATTGCCTCGCTTGCTTCTTCTAAATTAACATAACTTAGAGTTAGCCATGGTCCTCGATGTGGTGCAGGAACTGGTCATCGCGTGTGGTCCACGTCAGCTTCTTAGACTGTGTCCGCAGGGAGAGGTCTGCGGTCACAGTTGAACTTGATGCAAGAAACCCTGACGGTGGGATTCTTGCTTTGCCGGGACCTATCCAGGAACTTTGATGTTAAGCCCTGGATGTGGTCCAGTAGGTCTTCTATTTGCAAGTCTCTTCTCAGGGTAGTGTTCCCGACGAAGTATGRGGSCTATGCTACTATCCTCAGTATTCTGTTCTGGTATGCTGCCAGTTTCCGCTTCTGCGAGGCGCTGGCCGTGGACAATGCAGGGCATCCTTAGGTCAGCACCGGTCGTATAAGTTGTTTGTAAGCTCCAACCTTTGTGCGCAGGAAGAGCTTACTTGTGAGCATAGGATAGTAAGCTTGGAGCAGGATGCTTGCCTTTTTTTTCTTGGTCCCCTTGATGATGCCCTGGATGGTTTCCCTAGTGACTCTGCTGGCTTTTGTTGGTTGCCAGTTATGGAAGCGGGCGGCTACTGTCTCTTCCACTTCCCCTTCTATGGAAGGATAGTCAACCAGGTTGGTCAAAGAGCTCCACTTTCTCCTTGGGGTCCACAGTGATRATTCAATTTTCTTGGATTGGTGGTATCCGTCTCCTTGGTTCTGCATGGAGTTTCCTGGCCATTTTCCAAAGCTCGTTATATGTCTCATCAGSCTCAATTTCGTCCATGCGAGCATCCCAGAGCTGCGATCGAACTTCCTTGAAATCTTCCTGGATCGCAGCCTGGAGACGGTTGACTTGCCTTTTTGGTATGGGTCTAGTGTTCGCATGGCTCTGCGTCGCATCCGGTTTTTCTCCGTGATTTTGGCTTTTAACCAGGGAGTGATTGGGTCCAGTTGGTATGCCGGTACGATGGTTTGACTTGTTGAGGCTGCCAGAGCGTGTTGGATGTCCCTGGTGAGCTTTTCGACTGACTGGTCCAGGCTCTCTCCTAGCCAGTGGGCGGCTGGATTCTGCTGGAGCTTTCCAATATTTGCTGGAAAGTCTGCCAGTTGGTGGTCGTTTTGGTCGCAGTCGCCATTTATTTGGTTCGGACCGATTTGCATTCTTATGGGCAAATGGTCCGACGACAATTCCTGAAGTACTTCGGGGGTAGACAGTCTTCCTGCCTTCTTGTACAGGAATATGTCCAGTATGTCATCTCTGCCATTTTGAGCAATGTGGGTTGGCTCTTGGGGTGCGGCTATGAACCCAAACTAACCCAAACTAACCCTT